TGCACATGGGTCGAGTCCACACACTGACCTTGGGCCTGGGTATGTGCCCTTGTCAGACAGAAAACAGCAAACACCTCACAACTGGAGAAAGGCACTTGCACACGTTGTGGGTTTGCTTGTTCTCCCAGCAAGAGAGACCCTGCAGATGCTTGCCCATAGAGGGTCAAACCCGGCAGAGCCATATGTAGTCAGTGCAGAGAACACCAAGCTGCCTGGACTCTGGGGAGGGCCACACTGGCCCCTAGCTCAGCAGGTCCCCCTCTCAGAGACACAGCCAGGATCCTGAGAGCAGGGCCCTGGGGACTTGGATGGGACATCGCCCCAGGGGAAGAAGCAAGAACTGATCTTGGAAGAGGGGACTCAGGAGGGAGTACTGGGCATGTCAGACTCCCAGAACCGGATCTAGGATGGGCCACCACTTACTAATTCCACCATGGGGAATATATTGGGGGACCGTGTAGCTCTGCCACCTGGGCAGGTGGGCTCCACAGTGAATGACTTGTGTTTTCATGACTCTAGTCACAGGACAGAGAAGAGCTGCACTTGAAAACCCCAGGTAAGGATACATGTCTGCTTCCCAGTCCAGGCTTCAGTGGATGCTGCACAAGGACCCACATGTCTCCTCTGGGGTGAGCAGGGGCTGCACGTGGCCTGAGGAGGACTCAGGCAATTGCACCAAGGTCCCAGATGTCCCATCCCATAGCAGGGCCCTTTGTAATGTGCCTACCCAGTGCCTCCTGCCCAGAGAAAGGGGCTGTGTCTAGCCCCAAACACAGGCTTTGCCTAAGAACTCACTTTTGCCATCCAAGAGGCCATAAAAGTGCAGGGATGCTGGGTGTCCTGAGTTCACTGCTTCCCAGGAGACCAGCAGGGGTGTGAGCCAGGGGCGGAAGGTCCACTGGGAACTCACAACTGAGGAAAGTTAGGTCCTGATAATTCAAAGGAGGAGTTATCAGCCAGCTCAGGAGTTCCTGCTCAGCCAGGTCAGCTCCTGGGCAGGGCAGCTGCCTGGTGAGTGTGGTTCCTGCCCTGTGAGGGAGGCCAGGCTTCCACAGGGGTCCCTCCTCACCAGAAAAAAAGGTGGCCTTGTCCATCCTCATGTGCCCAGCCTGCTGGTCATCTAACCTTCCTGACCTCCTGCCCAGTGGCCCACAGGCCCTGCATATGACACAGGGCAGAGGCACTTCTTAGTCACCCCTGCAATTGCCCAAGCCCAGGTCGCTGCAGGAGAGACCTGAGTGTCCCTGGTTCTGATGCTGGATGACCCAAGTGATTCACAAGGATATGTTGAATATTACCTTGAGTAGAAGAGAAACTTTTCTAATACCACAAAGGATGAGAAAGATGTGAGTCCGAGGATGGTGATAGAGGGTTGCTGAACATGTAGCTGTCAGTGGGTCCAGGTTCCTCTAGTGACTTGAGTTTTGTCCCCCTGTGTGTCTGGGCTTCCCAAGGTTCTCCTGCTCAGATAGACTCTGTCATCACATACTGAGCTTTCACCCACTCTCATCATGCTGCTGGGGTGAAGAAGTTTGAGGAGGGGGAAGATGGATATTGTTATGACTACGTCTCACTGACTCAGTCATCCTCTTCCCCTGGGCTGTGACCATCACCAGGAGCCCCCAGTAATAGAGGTCATTTGCACCTGTGCTCTACTCCCTTCCGTGGGAATGGTGAACGGGACTATGGCCCTTAGTCCTCAAAATTTTTTATTATTTCCTCTCATAGGAGATACAGGGCGAAAGGAGGGTCCTGGAAGAGGCACAGTTCCCCTCCCT